GCTAGACAATCAGCCACCACCATATCAACATGTGAGCGTCTCATCCTCGTTCGCAGCTTACGATGGTCTTCAGTGGCAATAGGAGCTTCCTCCCGCGTCCGCTATCTTTTTCCACCATTCAGCCTTCTGGTTTTCTATCTCTCTCCGAGACAACGCTAATTGACTGTCGTCGATTTATCCGCTGTTCTAGGCCATGAGAAAAGACGTCTCTATTAACAGCATATCGAGCATATCAGGCATACCAGCACGATTGCAGTGGCGCTTGGAGTCGACAGCAAAGAAACTCATCACTCGATAGTCTACTAAAATCGCATGTATGTGCCCCAGTTTGAGGTTGGTTCACGGCTCTTCTTCGTGTTAGTTCTACTGAGGGTGTAAGCGCGATGGCTGTTCGAGCATAGTGGCGACCCACAAGTAAGCGGCTGTGGTGGCAGTTATCAATCTGAAAACCGAGGCTAACCACGATCTGTGAAGCTATCGCGTCTGCAGTCATCCATCTTTGAGTCGCCGACCGCGACGACGGCCATCTCAACATCAATTCTGCCAGTCTAAGCGCCATCCCATGGGGCCAGATTGGCGACAGGTCTGGAGAACGGCTTCCGACATTCGCAGCGACGGCAATCGTGTCAGAAACTGGGTTATGGATATGAGAGATAACACGAAGAGGACGCGACTCTACTGTGATGTTGGTATGGGTCAATCTATACACTTACGCTGCATTCTTTGTTGTTCCACCGATTAACTAAGAGACAGTGAAAACATCAGGCTAAATTGTCGTAAAGATCCCAAGATAAGCGAGCGCCTTCATAAGACTGAGCCTGTCTCGCGAAAAGAGGCCATCATAGATACGTTCGCAAAGTATTCGGGTCGCGCCACTTTCAACGATTACACCTCACCACGTCAGGGCGTACGAGAGGCGTAGCTTCCTTGCACAATTCGTTAACCCACAGGTCTTTGCATATTGGCCTCGCTAATTGGGTCTTGAACGGGCATTTAACCAGTCTCTCGGTACAAGACTATTGTTGACTTTTAGTTCTCCCGGTTCAACAAGCAACGCCCGGGCGGGAGGCGGGCGGCAACAGTGGCCCCAATCGCATAGCCCCGCCCCCACAACCATCCTTCGGGGCGTATCCTTCACCACCCACATGAATTCGGGCACACCGAGAACAGCCACACATATAGACATCTTACTCCGGCTCGCATATGGGGGCCAAGGAACATCTTTATTGCGGCGTTCTTGTGATACCATCGTCTGGGGACCGTCAGCTTACTATCGGCTCGCAATATCATGCGGCAGTTGAAAGGCTTGATTTGTGATACCGTCGGACGGCCAGGACTTGAACGGTATCCTTCGCCGTGCGTTGTTAGATACATGCGTTTCGATAGCCAGTGATGCATGGCACCGTCTTATCGTAAGTGCAAGGAGAATGATGTGTTCACTTTCGCTAGGAGGCACAGTTGTTACACCCCTGATAGTCACCCTCTTATAATATATTGTCCCTTTGTGTTCGGCCTTGTTCACGGATATTTCAGATCAGACCACAAAGATGTCTTCTACTTCGAGAGACGATATTGTGATGGACACTTCAAGTGTCGAGAAGGCGTTTACAGACACCTCATCCCCTAATGAAGCCGAGACCGTGGTTACGGCTGATGAATCGAAGTATATCACAGGTATCAAGCTCTATCTGATCAACACTTGTCTTACGGTCTCTATTTTCCTTGTGACTCTCGAGTCTACAATCATCAGTACCGCTATTGTGGACATTACCGATGAACTAGGTGGCTACGAGAAGAGCTCATGGCTCTTCACAGCGTACATGTTGACGTACTGCAGTATGTATCGTATTGCAATCTCATTAAGTTGCTTGTCTAATCTCATTCAAGGTCTCCAGATGATCTGGGCGAAACTGTCGGACATCGCAGGACGCAAGTACACACTCATTGCTGCACTACTCATCTTCACCTTGTTCTCGGCACTCTGTGGGGCTAGCCAGACACTCATACAGCTCATCATGTTTAGATGGTGCCAGGGTATTGGAGGCTGTGGTGTATACGCACTCACTCAACTCCTGTTCATGGAGATTGTCCCAAAGAGAAAGTTCCCACAGTACATGGCGGGTGTTAGCATGGTGCTTGCACTCAGTTTGATCACAGGGCCGCTTCTCGGTGGTGGTATTACACTGCACGGGAGCTGGCGGTGGATCTTCCTTTTGAAGTATGTGTTTTTCCTGGAGGAACTTATTGAGCCTACTGACATTATGATCAGCGTTCCTGTAGGAGTTCTTACTGCCATTTCACTGTGCTTCACACTTCCGAGAACACTCTTCAACGAACCTGCTGCGCAGCAGAAACACCCCATTTTCTCAAAACAGACTCTCCGTCGGCTTGACTTTCTAGGCGCAACGTTGATGCTGGGAACTCTTGTGTTGCTTGCTACAGGTCTGCAACAAGCATCGCTAGACTATGCCTGGTCGTCCAACAAAGTTCTTCCCCTACTCGTTGCTTCTGCACCTTTCGCGATCGCCTTCTTCACATGGCAATGGTACGCAACGCAGCATCGCACGAATCCGGAGCCTGTCTTCCCTTGGCGCTTCTGCCAAAGTCGCATACAGCTGGGCATGATCATGTACGTCTGCCAAGTTCTACCATTATCTCGAACCACCCTAACATATACTCCAGAAATACCTATCTCTCCGGCACAGTCATGTTCGTATGCATCGCACAGATTCCCCAACGCTACATCACTGTGAATGGCCTCTCCCCTCTCGCAGCTGCTGTCCGCCTCCTCACATACGGCGCTTTCGTACCCTTTGGCAGTGGAGTTGCCGGCGCTTTGATGGGAAAACCCAGGATACCGCCATGCTGGATCATCCTCGCAGGCTCTCTGATGGAGGTTCTCGGTATCACGTTGCTCGCGTGGATTGACACTTCGTCGCACATCGATGCTAGTCAGTATGCGTACCAGATCATTGCGGGCACAGGAACCGGTCTTGTCAATTCTGGACTTATCATGCTTGTGCCATATGCGATGGAGAAGAGGGATTTGGGTAAGTCACACATTATACCCTGATACGCATAACTTCAAGTGTCATGCCACTAACAATTACTAGCCGTTGGATCAGCAGCTACATCGCAGTTCCGCACCTTGGGCGGTCTGGTCGGTATCGCTATTGTGACATCTATCTCCACACCTTACATTCGTTCCCACCTGACCGATATCCTTCCCTTGGAACTCGCAGAAAGCTTACTAGAAAGGACGGAACTAGTGCAACATCTTTCACCTGAAACTCTCGAGCGGGTGAGGATGTTGTTTGGAGAGGCGTATAACCTGCAAGTCAAGGTGCTGATTGGATTTGCGGTGGCCAAGGTGCCGGTTACGGGTTTGATGTGGACGAATTTAAGAGTTGAGAGTAAGTGATTAGGTGAAAATGACGATAGAGGAGCCTAGGTTTCCTTGCGCCGATAGTTCCAATGCAGGTCATATTCCAGACTCCTATAGCAAACTGGGTTTGGACACTATAAGAAAGCGGCCGCCCGTCCGTCAAAAACCTGCCATAACCTGCTAAAAGCCCCACGAAATACGGCAATCCAATAAAGTCTAGTTTAGGTCCTCGTCTTGTTCTTCTTTCTCGAACTCACCGTCCTCATCCTCTCCTAGCTCAATCTCCTTATCGTCGTCAGCCTCGTCAAAATCTATCTCATCACCACTATCCAAGAAGTCCTCGTCAGAAAGCGAAAATTTATCGCAGTTTTCCTGCATCTCCTCCGCCTTAATCTTCTCCATTTCGATCTCATGTGCCTGTCTCATCCGCGCACGCTCTAGTTCCTGACGGGCCATAAGTCGCGCAACAACCACCATGATCGCATCTTCACCAAAACTCGGACCCAGTATACGGAGGATATTGTTGATGTCTGCCTGTGTGATAGGATCACCAGTGGCTTCGAAGAGTAGTCGTTTGCATGTTGGACAGGTATGACCAACCTCAAGCCAGGCGTCTAGACAGTCTTTGCCGATAATATGGCCGCAGGCGGCGACGCGAATCGCGGCATGGCATTTTGGGTTGGGGATACCGTCTTTAGTGGGGTGAACAGCAAGAGGTTGGAGACATATGGAGCAGTCCTGCGAGGCATGTGTGTGCGACTGTCGAAATTGCTCAAGACCTAGGTTGTTGAAATCTTGCTTGTTTGCAAAGACTGTCATTGCAATTTTGGCAGAGTTGAATTGTTCGTGACCGTAGTAGAGTTTGTAGAGGGCTGAAATCAGTGGAAAGGCGAGTATTCACTATGTTATCTATTGTGAGAGTGAGGCGAGGGTCGTAGTGGGTCGCTCCTTCTCGAGGCAGACCAAGGTGAAGTAGTGCACGGTCGTTCTACTGCTTTCTGTAATTGTTGGAGGAATCCAAATATCCTCAGTGGCTTCTGCTTGAGACTGTTCGTCACTACCGACATGGAAGTTGTAGACCTATTGCAGTGATCAGATCAACCAGTTTCGCTTCTCTACCACGGTTCGCGTTGACTCTCAGCAGATTAATTGGTACTCGCAACCATACCAGAAACGCTCAATTGCCAAAAAATGAGAACATGCACTTCCGTCAACATAGTAATCGCATACTGCAAAGTACGAGGGAGCCTGTTTGTTCGTGACCGACTCTAGGTGAAATCGCAGTCATCTGGTCTGCTAGCATGTTAGCCACATTTTGGATAGATTCAAGGTAGCCGTATAGACGGCAGAACAGTAGTGAGATAGATTGACTTCGAAACGGGTCAATGCATGCGAAACAATAGTCTTTCTGCGCTCGAGAATGTATTTCCTGCTATTGCTCGTTTTCTCTAACCAATTCCACGCTCATTACCGTGATACTGTGTCTTGTCTTTCAGTATCAATGATTCGTCAGTCACCAGCAAAACTGCCGCCGGCTACTTGAAGCGCGCGATCCCATCACCAACAAGACACACCGTGTTTCCGGCATAAATGCTACCTGTAATTTAGTCTTGCATCATAACCAAACCTCAGTGGACCACGTTGGTATTGCAGCTTTCGGTGCACGCTTGGAAGAAGGCAGTCTCACAACAACGCGCGGCAACAGCACTCGTCGATCAACAGAACCGTCAGTCTGGACGGCGGCTTCCTGACCTCCTGGTATAGCTATAAACATAGACTTGATACGTGCGTAGAGTGACGGCTGCGGAGGAGCTAGCAAAGTTGCTATGGTTGGCTCCGGACCAGGTGACGGCGGGACACTTATCGGAGTATGAAGTGGCGAGGAAGGGGGAGACGTAGTTGTATGTTGTACTAATTTAGGTACCTGGCCTCGAGAGGGCGTTGACTCAAGTAAAGGCGGTACTGGCTGTGCTGGGGTAGGCGAGGACGTTTCTATCGGCACTGTTGTGGTTGGCAAGGGCTCTGGTGGCGTAGGCGGCACGGACATCGCCAGTTCCAGAGGCGCGACAACATCTGGCTCAGGAGGAGGCGTGGGCACTGCAATGGTCTCTGTAGGCCATCTGCTTGGTGCGCGTGTTAATGGCCCTGCATCTTGCAGTAAGGGGGTCGATCGCTGGACGGGTGAAACGAAAGGGTCCTCTTCCATATTTGGCATAGATACTGGCTGGCCTGACGCGATGGCTGTTCTATCTCTCAAATCGTCGCTGGGTCTTGGGCTTGCCTCTGGTATCGGATCCAGACGTGCTATTGGCCGACCAGAGTACGTTGGCGCTGGTCCGTCATCTATCATCTGCTTGACAACGATTGGGCCTCTTTCGCCGTCGTCCGGAAAGGGCCCTTTGTAGACCTCGCGGCGTCTGAAGCATCGGCAGCAACACAGCATGGAAAGTAGACCTCTATACCGCATCTTTCAGTAAATCAATCTCTGAGGAACAAGAACGTATGTGACAGCCACAATGTGACGAATGGTTTGCGAAGTGTTGAAGGAAGGCAGTGGACTTCAATGAGCGTGCGAGTTGGTCTATATGACAGATAGGAGAAGAGTGCAATGCACTCACAACAGCAGAGCGATAGCCGCAGCAAGACCTCCAATGAGACCATTCCTTACGTTGCGCCCATGGCTGTAAGCTTCATCTTCCTCCAACAATAGGTCCGCATGGATGTCGCGACGCGAAAGGCGAAATGGCAGGTTCAGCCTAAGCGACGATGCTCCGGAGGTCTGCTTGACTGTTGGGGTGCTGGTAGCGCTATATACACCCGTCAGAGCCACTGAGGTTGTCGAAGTGGGCCGCGACTTGGGTACATCCTGCGAGGCCCTAGTTGGTATGTCTTCCTCCGATGGATACCATATTCCAGCCTTCACTGTGCCATTTCCTGCAGAAATACCAGCATTTTCCTCCTCAGTACAGCTGAGATATGCCTCCCGAATCCAGCAAATCGGTGCGGGAGAGGTTCCTGCGTCGTTTTTGTGATCAGAAGTGCTAGGGCCTTCGGTACCAAAGCTGGACAGATCGACACTGCGACCCATACTGATGTCATCGCCTTGGATGACGCGAGTGAAAACAGTAAAAGCGGTCTCTGGCTGGTAATACGGTACTTGGTGGCCGGCATCATAAATCCGAGAGAATGAGAGGTTGCCGTATTGACGGACTGCCCCGCCAATGTAGGAATCATTCACAACAATGTCCGCATACCCAGCCTCTGGGAAAGCCGTCTTGTATCCTGGAACAAGACCAGCAATCTCGAGAGAGTAGTTTTGTCCTCCATACCAATTGCATATGACATCAGCGTCACCGTAGATGAGGGCGACTTTGATACCACGAGCAAGCAGGTCCGCTAAAGCGGCGATTTGCCCTCCGCGGGCCGCGTCTCCATCTAGACAGGACATTAGTAAGATTGTTGCGCAGGCAACCGGAAATACCATATAGTAACTCACTGTATTGGAAAACATTTGCAACGGTGTAGCTAGTGGAGGTGAAGTTGACTGGTGCGCCAATGGATTGTAGGAAACCTTCTCCGTTCAAATACTCTGCGAGTGGGACAGCAGGCCCGACCGTTGGACCAGCTCGGAAGTCGTAAATACTCCTACCAGTGGTGTAGGCAACACTAGAAACAGCTGTGCAATTGTAGATAGCACTGTAGCATAGATCGTTAACGTCTTGGTTGGTACCAAGACCTTCGGGGTCGTTGAGGGCTGCCGACGCGCCGCACTGTCTCACCAGATCTTGGCAGCCCATGTCTACGTGGAGTTCCGATACCAAGTTTTGGTAGGTAGTGAGGTCAATGCCTTCGATGCCATAGGTGTTGTTGTACATGAACTCCAGGCCAAAAAGTGCCGATCCGTAAACATCCATTGCACCGTTGACGATGCCGAGTGACCCAAGCCGGATGTCGAGCGCTTCGGATGAAATCTCACCCTTTTCCCGACGATCATTCTGGCTCTCATAATAGTCGGCGAAAAGTGGACCATAAGTACCACCGTAGCTCTCGCTGAACAGGTTAACATGACAGGGTTCGACAGTATCGCTGTGGGGTCGAGCGCCAGGGTTGTACTGCGGGAACGCCGATAGGAATCCTTGGAGGAAGTGCCACGATGCTTGTGCGGCAACAATAGTCAGGTTTTCTGTATTGGCTCGAATAGCAGAAGGGAAAGTGCCGTTCTTGAAGCGCCATTCGGGAGCGTCAGCAGGAAGCGGGGAAGGTTCCATGAGCTCGTCCCGACCAGTGTAATCAGGTATGCTAAAGTCCACCGAAGCGTTGCGGAGCTCATCGTATGAGAAGCCGACTTGGGTAGGTTGGTCGATGAAGAGTACGTTGGAACTGCGGTCCCATCCCCAGATCCTGGTCTGCGTGGTATAGCTGCCGTCTGGGCCTTCTACAATCTCACAAGGTCCCATCTCTCCGAAAAGCCCGAACATACTTGAACTGCCAGGTCCTCCATTCAACCAGATCGTCAATGGAGCCGTTTCGGGGTTCTCGCGTGCCTCGAAGAACCAGAAGAAGGTATTGATTGAGTAATCCTGGTGGAACGGCTCAAGCGTAAACGGAGGAAGTTTGACATATCCAGTATACTGCTTCTGCTCCTCGAAAGCCGTTGCACACGAATGGGCGTCGGGTGTCTTATAGGATATGGTGATGCTAGGGTCGATGGGCGATTTGATGACGGTATCATAGGTTACAGGTAACGGATACTGCTGGGCGACTGATAATCCAGCGTGGAGAGCAAACACGAGAACGATGGCGGGTGGTTGGATCTAATATCCGTCAGTGGTTGGCCAGCATGCGCAGGCGGTTAGTGTGCTTACCATGTTGACGAGAACCTGGGCAGCGGAAAGCTATCGCATGGGAATGAGAATAAGAGACCTATGAGGTGCCGCAGCGGCCTGATTGTTACAACCAAGCAATGCGCCGTTCCGCATTTCTGGTCCCGCGAGTCGAAGAAGTGAAGAGAAGACGTCAACGATAGATAATTGGTGTGCCATAACGGACGTATTTGTACCGCGACTTCCCTTCACCTCCCAAAAGCCACGGAGCGCGACTTTGCTAATTAGGAGAACTCCTCGCTCAATGCAAGGCAGCGGCGAGGTGAGTGGTGTGTGGCTGTGTGACGGTACCTGTTTAAATTGACGCGCCTCGAGCGCTAGTGGGTGTTTGCATCATTCCACGTACGCTCTCGCGATCCTACGAGATGGTTTGGACTACCCATTTCGGGATCATAATAGACATAGTCTTGCGACCACAATAATGCAACTATATCCTTCCAATACCACAAAATTCATCCTGATCTATTCCAAACCCACTTCTTCAGTATCTTCGCAGCGCATCGTGTAGAGGCAATTCGACTGACTTGTAAGGACCACGCCACATCGCATCCCAGGAATCCGTGTACGGCATGAAACTGGTCGCACCCCAGTGTCGGGTACACATAGGCTAAATGCTTACAAGGATCTACAAAGCCACCATGGGGCCGCTAATTTTACCACCTTTAGGTGTGAGTTGGCGTGGTTGACATCCAAGGCGCGTAGATAGGCTGCGTTGTGAATCGATGTAGTCAGCTGTGTAAGGCAGCGTTTGCAAGTTGCATCCTCCTCCCGTGGCCCCCATATATCCAACCAACTGCATCGGCCATGTCATTGTGGTATGGTATCCATCCTGCGTTGTGTAAGCTAGCTGTAGTCGCATTACTCGCTTCGGAATACTGCTCACCTTCAGGAGCGAAGCCGCCGGCTTCTTTTCCTTTCAACTCTTCCCAGGTCCTCTTTCCGGCAAGCCCAAGCTGTACAGCTCTCGACCTCTTACCTCTCTTTGCGATAATCCTCACCTCGCCCTTCATGTCCTGCTCCGGTCCCGCGATGCGCCAATTCTCGTTGACTTCGTGGCCTGGCTTTGCTGCCCATGGCTGCATTATGCGCCCGTCTTCTGTCTTCTCGTCTCCAGTCGCCGTGTGCTGCGCATAAGGAACGATGTACATCTTGACCTCTGCGCCGTACTCCTCTCCATCGCGTTCTTTAATTAGCGCATCCCAGTTCTCGGGTTGCGCCGACCGTTTGCGCCGGTGGTCGTAGCCCGAGGCAATGAAATCGGTACACGGTGTGATATACGTCAGTTCCTTCCAAGCGTCACTGTTCAGAAGAGTCTCGATGTCGAAGTAAGTTGTAACATCTCGCCAAGCATCACCCAGACCGAAACCATGCCAGCAATCCTCTACAACCAACGTATCCAGACAAAGACCAGGGAGCAGAGTGAACGCATTCGCTGCATAGTATGTAGGGTAGTACTGCGAGCTCCCTGAAGAGTACAACGGGAAAGGGTACGCACGAACTCGAATGTGGCGGAGTCGCGTCACTACGCTCTGATCAACGGAGAGGAGTGTTTCGAGTAGATTCTCTGTGCCGCGGAAATGTAGAGTGCAGTTGAGTGGAAGATGGCGATGCGCCTCGGCGAAGACCTGGCGACAGCTGAGCAGGAGCGCTATGCGATTAGAAGGCTCTGCGTCGTCGCCAGGGGCACCGGCATGTTTAAAGCCATGCCGGATGGTATGACTGCTGAAGAGGAAGCCGTATATGAGTTCGCGCAACTCGATAGGTATCGTCAGAAGGTTTGGGGCGTTCATGGTGTTGTCGCTACTGCTGTTGCGCCAGCAATTGGCACTGGTTACCAGAGGCGAGGGTGCCTTGCTTATAAGGAGATCAAGGATTTTCCAAACAAGTTGCTGATAAGAAGTAGTCTATCTTAGAAGTCGGTAGCCGGGCCCAAACAAGTGGTACCTGTGCGTAAGCTGTGTCACTGGGCGATAAGCACGATCAGGTTACATGCTCTGGATCTGACGACAGCTGCCATGGCCGCCCGGTGCTGCGGAACGCGCGGATTATAAGTCATGTTCAGCTCACACCCCGGCTGGAGCTCCCTAGTAGCGGTTGTTATTCCGGGGGTGAGATGACGTTTGAAGCTCTTCGGTGCGCTAGGAACGAGCTAGTGCATGTCCGCGGTGTCGCATGTTCGGTCGCAAACCACAAACGGTCAAGACATGGGCGGGCCATTAGCTGCGCATATGCACACGTGCCACGATAGTGCGAGATCGACATGTATTACAAGATATGGTTTGCTGTGGAAAGAATAGTGGTTGACGAATAGAATGCTTTGTCTTGGGTATCTTTGATGCTCGCTCAAGTTCAGATCTGCCTCGTTGTATGGCTTGCGAGGGCTTTGCGCCATATGCTGCACTGGATGCGCTCAGTCTGACTTGGGTCGCCCACGAGTCCGCTGCTGCTCCTCCTGCAGCTTCTTCTGCTGCCACTGCCATTCTACAAGCACAGGCAAAAACTGCCACAGATCGAACTCGGGCCACAGACACTTGAGAAACACGATAGAAGTGTTCTCGTGTGCTTGCCAGAGCATGAAGTCGCTCAGCCGCTCAACGCCAGAGGTACGAACAAGCAGGTCGAGGGGCGGGGCGTCAGCCGTCATCATGTTGTCGTTTAAAGTTTGAGCACTAATTGACTCTGGATCCAGAAATGTCGGCCCATTATGCAAGTCATCCTTCTCAGGCGAGTTGATGGCGGTCGAAGTTGACGAGGAACGCCCATCGTCAGCCGCAGTCGCTTCCTTGGACGAGGGCGACGCCGGCCGCGAGTCAGACTGTTCCACTATACCTTCCGTGTCCTCCTCCAACATTTGCTTGCGAATAGTCTGGGTTATGTGCGATTCGGAAAAGGTTCGCTTAGAGGGGGTAGGCAGGTTGTGTATCGGCGTGCTGTACGTCTCGACAGTCTTCATGACCGCGGTCGTGATTTCGTGCCGTGACGTGTAGGGGAAACAGACGTTGAGCACAGCTCTGGTCATGGTCAGCGATACTCTTCATGGATCGAAAGTCAACGCACTTCTTATTGTGTGCTGTCATGGCAACAGCCTTGTCCACAGCCACCAGTACGTCTGGGCTGATGAGCTCGCGCTGCCCCAGCACTCGGACGGATGCACCATAGCGATCCAGCAGAGCTCCGTGCTCAGCCAGTTGTTGCAGCTTCACCTTTGCCATAGACATGAGCGCATCAACTTCATGCTTCGAGCGCTTGAAGTTCTCTATGCTGAATGCATAGATGGTGACAACCTTGACGCCAGTTTTGTAGCAGACTTCGAGGATCTGGTAGCGATGTTAGCATAACGTTGCGACACCTGAATGCCAGTCACCCGTACCCTTGCTAACGACTCAAACCCGAGATTGTGTCCTTCGACTGTCTCAATATGGTGGTTTCGCGCAAATCGCCTGTTACCATCCATGACGAACGCAACATGTTGCGGAATGGGGCCTTGCTTCAGCGACCCAATGAGGAGCTCTCGTAGCTGCCTGACTGTCCATGCGACGGGCGGCGACGTCGCAAACCACTTGTGTATACGGGAATCGTGGAGGGAGCCCATGGTGAATATTGTTGAGGTGCTTGGCTTGGGTCTGTAGGGTAGGAGCTTCGAAATATCGGGGGGAGTGCAACGTGCTTTTCTACGTTAACGAGGGGAGCGATTCGATGCAATTGTGGAACAACAGTCAGGGTATCATGGTGTATAAGAATTGATGCCAACGGTAAGATGCTACGTAACGTATTCAAGGCGCAGCGAGCCGTGACGCGACTCCCAAGCAATGGAGCATCGGGTGGCTCTTGCAGCGGTGAGTGGCTGGTGAGGCGTGACTAAGCGTGGCGCGGACTAACCGTCGCTTCCGAAGCTATAGTCTTTGCCGAGCTTCCGTTCTTCTTTCTTCTTTCCCGACTGCGAGCCTCACTTGCCGCGTCATCATTGCTGCGCTCTTCTGCCCTGCAGTAGCATTACACGCATCACTTCACTAACCTTGTCATGGCCGAAGAGGCTCAGAACACTGTGACAGAGCTCGCTGAGCAGCTCGTTGAAGGCTTTGCCGCGCTTAGTGGAGAATACCAGGTTTTATTCGACCAGCAAAAACAGCTGGAAAGCAAGCTCTCGTGGGCAAAGCAACAGGTACGTGGCGACTCTTCGCAAACCTTCCTCTCCTATGATGATACATTTTAGCTCTAGACCTGCAGCTGCACAGCGGCATTGACAGACAATCTTTTATTATCATGTACTGAACCGGACAACCGCCTTACATCTCAGCACACAATTACCTCTGCCGACACAGCTGACGATGAACAGTATCTTGATCTTTTGAAACGCTTCACTCCCAACACGTTGTCGCAAGACCACCTTACTTTCCTGCAAGACCTTGAGCGCGTTGGAGACGAACAACCTCGGATACATTTGAATTTGGTGGGGCAGTTGGCAAATAGCGATGATGTAGAGCGCAAGAGCCGAGCACTGGTCATCCAGAAGGCCGAGGAGGCTGCTGTCAAGCTGCATGCGTCTGAGAATAATAGCAGTGTAAAAATATGGAGTGGTCCGTCCGCAGACAAACCCGCCCCGTTACCTGAGATACAGACCAATAGAGCCACGTCACCAATAGAGAAAGACTTCACTGTTGCTGGAACACCTAGTAAACTCGCCTGTCCCTTCGCATCCGGTAGTGGCAGAGGCAGCCCGCTTGCCACTCCACGTAGCTCGACGTCCCGATTAAGCGTACGCGGTCGAAGATCAAAACGTCCCTCGTTCACCGACCCTATCCGTGCTGAAATATGCAGCAATAATCCTGCGTCGGTCACCGCGTCAGTAGCGGCGTCAGGCTCTGCTGCCGTGTGCCCCATTCGATTCCTCGACCAACATAATCCTGAAGAGGTGGCTAAATACTTTGAGAAACACAAACATGAGCTGCCGAGAAGCCATGAGGTCTGCATCACGCGCTTCCAGAGTAACCAAGAGAGCATAGAGCAGCTCGATCGCAAGTATGGCAATCTGGTCAATATGATCCAGGGCTTAGGGCAGAAGCACCAAGTGTGGCTTCCTGAAGATCCTGATGATGCTATCGAAGAAGAGCCGGAGGCAGAGCTTCACCTAGACACCAACGCAAAGGCTGATACCAAGGTGCAAAACTGGGCCTCAGCTGTTTCGGCAAGTCTCAACGATGGCACCCCACCACCTGAGGAAGAGCCAGAGGAGCATACATTAGACGAGACAAGGACCGCCCACTTTGATCGGGACCGGCCGCTAAAAGAAGTCAGGGTTGGCGAATCACCAAGTCGGCCCTGGGGCATCTCGATACCTGCAAAGTACACCAACGCTGAGAGCTCATCCTCGGTGGGCTCTGTACCAACAGCATCGCCACAACTGCCACTTGACACTGGTCGTCCGATTGGCGAGACACCTCACAAGACTGGCAAATGCCCCATCGATCACCGTGCTATGATGGGACAAACACCGCAACAGCCCGAAGTATCACACTTTGGTTTACCGCCACAGTCGCAGCCTCGGGCTCCAACAACACATGTACCGCCTACAGAACGCCCACCACAACCCCCCGCCCCAGAACCGCAACAGCCTAGAGAGCCCGAAGGTCCGAAACTGGTCCCGCAGATGGTGTTCAATGGGCCTGTCTTTTTGGGCTACCCGCCCGAGCAGTTGGCTATACTATTGCAAAACAGCAATCTTGGTGCGGCAATGCGGTAAACATGGAACACCGTACAAATCTTCAATTCGCTTGCTAGTTGCTTGAAGGTATTGTATCGTACTCGAAGGTAGGCTCGAACAGCTGCTTGCCTCACAACTACCGTCACAATCGTCTTTTGATGTTGTTGTGCTTCTTCTCATGCGCTTTTGTCAACCATCATTACGTCGTGCAGTCATCGATTCTGATTTTCCAAAGGTCCTGCGAGTCGATGCTTCCACCCCTCCTGACCAGCCATCTGGCAGCTCTTATTTGTGCAATCCTGCGACTATCTTCATTTCTTCTTCAGATCTGCCATCCACGTCCGTACGCCCTTTGCGCTATCGTGTGCTGCACGAAACACTTGACAGTGGTTAGCAGTTATATGGCGAAACTGGGCCAGCACTTACGTTGCCGCTCATTCTCATCCAGGCCTCGCATGAAGTCGGCGCCTTCGCCTAACGCACCTCGTGGATTATGGGCTTGATCGGCTATGAGAGCCGCCCTGGCCTTGAATGTCTATGCGGGTTAGCACGACGTCGTTGCATTAATCTAGAGCAGAACTTACATCGCTTAGCACCTCGATCATTTCTTCCTCCTCAAACAGTTCCAGGATTCGTGCGCCAAGATTGTAGAAGTGTGGGGCGAGAGCTCGTAAATCGACGGTTCTCGGGTCAGCTTTGAGGGCGTTCAGAACACGCGGAGATAGGGCGGATGGAGGGTCGATGGTCACAAGAGAAGATGTATTTAGACTTTGACTGTAGATATTGTAAACATGGAATGTGCATATGATGACCATGGTTGTTTACCTCAATGCAAGCATCTCGCCCAGCCATAGTGGAAGCTCGACTTTTGAACCCTGCTTCATGTCGCCGCTCATGTTACCCTCGAGATAGCCGAGGCCAGGAACGGTAAGCTCGAAAGTACATGGTACCTTTTGTGCATCGGTAAGGATTGCGTCTACGTCGTAGTAGGAACCCATCCTTCGCTGTAGGAGTTCAGTTAGTCAAAAGCAGCATACAGATGCGAAAACATTTAGTTCTTTCAGCCGACATGCTGTGTTGCAGGATCAAAGAACACAAGAGGCGATCCCTGTACGAGGCAACAGACGTGTCGCGTGTCGTGCAACCAGCCTTGCATCGGGACGAATATGCAGGGAGATGAAAGCGTGGGTAGAGGAATGGAGGACGAATGTAGCCCTGCAACTAGGGACAGGGCAGAAAAGAGGCAAAACAAGCAGGTCAGAAGATGATGGAAACGTGTAGCTTACTGCGTAGTCGCCTTCTGTGTATTGCGCGTCTTCGAGTGCCTGGCGGAAGTCCGACGGTATAATAGCGCGTTTCGTCCGAATATGATGAATCACCTCGCACCTTGCCCTCCCAGCAGCGCGTACGGGTCTCTGGAGATCAATCAGGCGGATTATCCGTTCCGTGCAAGTTGGACTGCGACTGCGATACTCGACCCCACGATCCACGATCTCGAGGTTGCTGCCGCCGCTCATTCGCCTAAGGCTGCAGGGTTAGAGCTCCCAGCTAGATGTCATCAGGACGAGGCGCCGGATACCCACATGAACCACGCTCTCCGACAACCATTGCACCCGACTACATCTTCACCTGCATTCACGCCCAACAACTAGAAGCTTTATACACTGCGCATTTGTAGAGTAAGTAGCGCGCACACGAGTCCACTGCTACCCACGTGCGGTGATTACTCCATAGTGCACAGCTTGTAACTGCCACTGTTCACTCAACCACATGCTGACTGTTTGTCTCGCAGTCCACCCGCATTGTCTGTCCGCGACTGTGAATTGGTAGCTGTACATTAATGACTGCGCATTTACAATTATCCTCCCCCACTGCGCCCTAGGCACACGCCTCTCAACCCCCACCCACTACGTCAACCACCACCACCACCAATCAGCACCATGGCGGTCAGCGAACGAATATCACAGCTCATGAGCGCCCTCGACACTGGTTCTGGCCCCGATACCTCTCGTGCCACCTCACCGGGTAGTGACTGGCGGCAGCCGAACGGCGGCGTCAATGGCGAGGATGAGAGACGCCGTCCGCGAACATTTCCCTACTTCGAATACCTCCCATACCAGACAGAAGACCAGAGCGATCGCGAAGAGAGCCTGAACACATGTCTGAAGCACCTCTACATCGCCGTCTCAGCTGGAGACTTTGCGCCAGGCGCTGTACACTGGACACGCGAGATTCGAGGCTGGCTGTCGCTCAAGTTCGATCTTCCCCGGAGCACGCGCGTGAAGTTGGTGAAGCTCTACTACGAGCTGGCGTTGGCTCCGGGGCTGGATTACCTTGTGGCGGAGCGATTTGCGAGCATGTTCATGGTGTTGACCAAGTAAGTGGCACCAGCATTAGACTTTGGATGACAGGTGGGGACTGACACATGGACAGGCGTAAACATTACCTGCGACCCGGCAAAGACCTCATACTCGACTGGCGGCCGTTGTATAGAGAGCTGAAGATGTTCGTCCTGCCTTCAGAATCCGGAGGCTCACACCCGCCCAACGTGAAGCGCAACATCCGTACCTTGACCAAGATGTGCACCTTTGCGCAGTCATACTTTGACCCCAAGGAGATACCGGCCATAATGGAAGAGCTTCTGCCCTTCTTCAGCACGTCCTTCAGCGAGAACGCGTTCGTGGTTGTGGGCCTGCTGAACTTGCTTTTCCCAACCCATCCCGCGCCCGAGGACATGAAGCAACTGCTGCCTCAAGAATACCTCCCGACCTTCTTCCATCTATGGTCGCTCGTCAACCGGTCGCGACTCTTCGACGCACACTACATCGATACACTGTCGAGATTATCTAGGGACAACCTAAGTGCGGCGCATATACCCTTCTCACAGTATGGAGTATTTACCGGCGAGCAGTCGTCTCAAATCTTCACGGCCATCCTGCGGCTGCTCGAAATTCCAGTTGGACAGGCGACGTCGCCGTATAGCAGTACGGTCGATCTTGGTGCAGGCCTGGCTGTGATGCTTGACCGTGACCCACGGAAGCATCCATCGACTCACCACATCGCCCGCATCATTGCCATGTCGCTATCTCCCGCTTGCGCAGAGCAACCCGACTCCATTCTTACTAAGCTTGAAGGGCTGATTCAGGCTGTGGAGACTTTCTTCCATCCATCCAATTCGGGTAGTTGGACTAGACCTCTGGCACAGTTTGTATACTACCTGGCCGATATCTTTGTGTTGCGGTGGAATCGAGAGCACAGTGGTGAGATGGACGTGCCGGAGGAGAGGAAGCTGAACGATGCAGTCAAGAGGCGCTTCGTACTCTGCTTACGGGAAGTCACATTCATGGGCATCTTCTCCAAGAGCGACAAAGCCGTGCAATACGCCTTGTCCACTCTACAGAGCTTGGCACACCTTGAGCCCAACTTGATTCTCCCAGGGGCATTACAGCGCATCTACCCCGCAATGCAAGGGCTCGTTGAGGTGCATCGCACCATTTCGTCTATAAGGGCGTTGCACATGCTCTCCAAGGTCATGGCCAAGACAAAGGGCTTCCGGTGCCACGTTACCTCTGTGCTCGGGCTTGCGCTCCCTGGTATCGATGCCAACGACCTGGAGAAGACGGTACATACCTTGCAGTATGTCCAAGGTGTGTGCTACCTTATCCCATTCCAGGACCTCACAAAGGCCAAGAAGGCGTCGAGTGACGAGACCTCTCGAGACGGAGCGACCTCACCTATGGACGACGCTGGTGGTAACACGGGGCTTGCTTTGGAGTGGATCACCTCACAAGTCGAACGATTAGAGAGCGCCAACGGAAACATTGAGATCAACTACGACGAGGAGCTTAGTGACGAGGATGAGGCCATGATCCTGCGGTCATCAACGACTGGGCTCAACGAATTCCTGATTACGTTCCTTGGTCGCGTCTTTACGCTTTTGGAGAATTTGCCAGATGCATCTAGGGTCCGAAGCGGTTCCCCTGAAGAGTACGTGGTCAATCAACTACCTGCTGCTTTTACGCCACTGCTTGCTGCCCTCTCTCCTGAGCTCTACGACATTGCGCTCGACAAGATTGCGAACTTCATCACGAACCATGTTGTTCACCAAGCCAAAGACGCAATTGCATTCATCTGTAACAGTCTTGTCAAGATCAACCCTGAGAAAGCTCTGAAGCGTCTGTTGCCCCATCTCTTGGCAGGTATCCGAACTGAGATCGATGAGATTGGCGCGGGATCGACGCGAACAACAGGCGCCGAGGTGCTCCCACGCGACCGTGCGCTTGTCTGGAACCTCTGCATTCTTAGCATGTGTGTTGTCCATGTCGGTGACGCAGTTCTTGAATGGAAGGACGAGCTCTTTGAAATTGCAGAATACATGCAGCAAAAGTGCCGCGGTACGCCCACCGTACATGTTTCCAACTTCATTCATCACTTGTTACTTAACCTTACATGCACCTACACCATCGATTACTCCATCTACGAGCAAGACGAACTTGAACAGGGCTTGTCAACAGAGTCGTGGGGTAGGCAGGTTGATATTAAGAAGCTGAACATCAAGTGGCACAAACCGAGCTCCGAGGAGATTGACTTCGCTGTCAAGCTTTTCGAGACCCACGCCAACAACTCCATGAAGGCACTCAAAGCCCTTACGCAACCAGACTCACCGATTAAACGCGAAGGCACCGGCAAAGATTGGTCTGATGAAGTCTCTCGTAACCTTGTTCTCTTACGTCTGATCATTTCCGGTATCTCAGTCTTATTTGATGTCCGACACGACCAAGTCACTGATGGCGCTGAGTCGAATGACGACTCTGATGCAGATGCAATGGACACAGAAGGCATCGACGACGACGCCGGTCTTGGAGAAGCCGAAGATGAAGAGGTCAAGCCTACGTTCCAGTACGAAGCTGGCTACCCGCTGCGTCGTGGCGATGACAACTACAATCTCATCCACGACCTTCGCGGACAGGTTGGCCATATGCTGCACAACGTGCATCAATTCTTGATCGAGAAGCAGCCTGATGACGTGCCCTGCTTCAATTCTTTGTACAATGCTTACAGGTCGTGGTTCATCGATGTTGGCATCGAGCGGTCTGCTCATGTGCTTGACAGGATATCCAGGTTGTTGGAGAATGACGAGCGACCTTTCAGGTTCAGCGGACTGCGAAAGCAGTACCCACGGCCTTTACTGGTTCGACGCGCAAACGTCTATCATCTGCAGCGACTACGCCACAACGCCAATCCGCGACCCAAGACAGATCTCGACATGATTTTGCTGCTTGATCTCGCTGAATCTAGTATCTCAGTCTACACAGAGATCCGACGCACGGCGCAGACAGCCAACGAATCAGCCGTTAAGTGCGTGCTGGGCGCTAGGCCCCTTGTCATCCCACCTCTACTAGATGCCTTCGTCAAGGCTGTGGCCGAAAGCGACTACCCTCGTATCAAGGGTGCCATGTTTACACTTCTCTTCGGTAGCCTAGCGAAGACTATCAGCCGCGACTGGCGCTTCACACCCAAGCTCATCAAAGCTTTCATTGAAGTCACCGGTGCCGATAAGCCTTCAGTGCAAAAGCTTGCGACCAACGCCACGTTCCAGATTATGGACATGGGTAAAGCAATGGAGCGCATGGTCATCCTGCCGAAGGAGGTTGTAGAGGCCATCGCATACGCCATCGACTCTAGCGAGGGCGACAGTGTACATACCAAGGTCACCAAGCGTCGGGACTACATCAAGAAGAAGCGCGCTCGCATCGAGGGCAAGAAGTCTGAGCTATCCAAGGAGCTTGTACATATCGCCAATACTGAGCACTGGAAGAAGGTCAGTAGGACCGCCGCCATCATCGTCAACTTGGGAATGCGTTACGACAGCATTGCTTCCGACGAGATGATCGACCTCGTCACGAAGGGATCCATCGATCAACATCCCAGCCTCCGAGGCCTCTATGCTGGTGCGCTTATCGGCTTGTACTCGGTCATTCAGACCCGTGCGATCACGGGACACGACTACGAGAAGTACTTGCTCAGCGAAGAAGAGCTCCCAGATAAGATTTCGGTGCCGACCAGGCCAGAGGACCCAAACTGGACTGAGGAGTATCTTGCATCATTTGCGCAGCCAGAAGCCAAGTACTATGTCGACTTTGATTATCCTGGCTGGCTTGTATGGAACAAGAGTATGACCGCATTCAAGCCCAACGCACCGCAGCTATCATACGATGAGGTCGAGTCTGGCGTCCGTCAGAAGATTGCGAAGCACCTGACTCGATCTTGGTTCTCCAACTACTTCGCCTTCATGAAGCAAGAGCCACGCGATAACAGCGCTGATAGGTTCCGTATGTCAAGCGCGATGGTTTTGACTCATTCCTTTGACCTCGTCTTCTGCGGCCTAACAGAGGCGACGTTCGAAGACATCAAGGACCTCACTCAATCCGTATACGCTGACGGCAGCGACAAGCATCAGCACCGCGCCACCGCTGAGATTATGGCCGCACTACTATCATGCGCACCAGATCTCAAGGCAGATCAGCGTGAAGCGGTGTGGGAGTACGTTTTCCCCATTGTGCGTGGAATCTTCCAGGATGGTCTGACGCCAGAAAACTCTGGGTACTGGACCACATTCCTTCATGTTGTGTTGCAATCGAAGGATCCACGCCGAGGATGGCCGTTGGTCGACTGGCTGGCGAGCTTCCGCCTTGATATGGAGTCCAACGCCGCCTTCAAAGAGAGCTCCAAGGTACATTTGCTTACGCAATGTATCTGTGACGCGGGTTGGCACTTCCGTCTCGAGAAGCCGATCTTGGAGGATTTCATGAAGCATCTTGACCATCCATACAAGGGTGTGCGAGAGGCCATGGGCCAGACCATCGCGAGCATCTTCAGGACGCGTTACCACGAATCATACAAGGATGTCGACACGCTTATCAAAGCCCAGAAAGACGCTTCTTCGATTGGTGTCCGCCCGTATCAACCTACAGATGAGTTCTCCAAGACCATCACTGAAGTCTTCGATCGCCTCGAGGTTTGGCGCCAGGAGCGTCCTGCAGGCCAGCAGACACCTTCGTCATACACGTCAGGTGGTAAGACGGTTCTCCTCTGGCTTGACTCTACGCTGTCATCGTACGAGTGTACGTCGCTTGTTAAATTCTTCCCCGACGTATTCATGGAGCAACTGCTACACATGATGGACATCAAGGAAGACCCCGAACTCCAGTCACTGGCGTATCACGTCTTCCGCCATCTACCGAATATCCCGCATCGCCAAGGCGAGGATGCAGACTTCATCGCTGCTCTCATTCGCATTGGACGCAATGCAACAAGTTGGCATCAGCGTCTCAGGATCTTGATCAATATTCAGGTCATCTACTTCCGCCGACTCTTCCTCATGAGCGAGGAGCAGCAGCAGAGCATGTTCGACTGCGTCTCTGCCATGCTCTCAGATACTCAGCTCGAGGTACGCATGGGTGCTGCCACCACTCTATCGGGCATGATTCGTTGCTCCCCCATAGCATTCCGCGACCGCCAAGTCTCCACGCTCAAGGAGAAGTTCACTAAGCAACTCAACAAGAATCCATTGCCAAAGAAGCGCAATCCAGGAACACCAACAACAGAGCAAGGCAAGCTTGTCCTGACGCGCCACGCAGCTGTGCTAGGTCTCGGTGCGCTTATTCAAGCCTTCCCATATCAGAGCCCTCCGCCAGCTTGGTTGCCCGATGTACTGGCTACCCTGGCTAGGAAGGCTGCAGCCGACCCAGGCATGGTTGGCAAGAGTGTCAAGACTGTTCTCGCAGACTTCAAGAAGACCCGCCAAGATACTTGGCACGTTGATGTCAAGGTAAGTTTTCATCTTCAACCGAACTACGATCCGTACTAATTGTGACCTTAGGCTTTTGAACAAGAACAACTGGAGGACCTTGAGGGTGTGTTGTGGAAGAGCTACTTTGCATAGATGACGGCTGGGCAAACTGCCATCCAAAAATTGGACGCTTTTAACGACGCTCGGTGATACCATAAACAGCATGCATGTATTATAAGATAGATCGGACAGGTTATGACAACGAGCGATATGAAGAGGCTCTGCATCCATGGCGTCTAGCGGAATTAGCATCTTCTAGATAGTCTTGCTTACTCAACGAACTTTGTTTCTTAACGTGCTTACTCAGTCGCGACCCGAACTTCGCCCCTGATGTTTAAAGCCGCACTGCCCCTCCCCCACTTGGGAAGCTTAAGCGTACCTGCGCTGACATCACATCTAGACGACTTCACTAGCAACCAATATACTGCTGCACGACACGAATAAATTACACTCGTTTCCCAGCAATCCCTATATCAACCGCTCTACAATGCCATTGACCGTGCTTTCCGATTCGGACGTGCGTACCCTTTTACTGCAACTCACGAAGCAAGACATTCTCGATCTGCAGCAGAATCTTGCGGATGCGCTGCACCACTACTCTACCAGTACCGAAGAAGACGATAACAATGGGTGTTGTGAAAGCTTTCAGTCTGCAGGGACAAGCTTGAAGAGCAAAGATGGTGGACTAATGACTGTCACGCCGGCAAGCAGGTATGTCGCTTCTGGGAGCTATGAACGCAGAATGATTGTGTTGACAGACTCTTGCAGCAACGATGGTCTAGGTGTCAGGATAACAACACGAATGGAGTCGGGTTCTTCAGATACGGCCTCTGTTACTTCGTCGATGGACTCCCTCGCACTCTCCCATTCGTCAACTCCAGCAAGCAAGAGTTCGGCAACCACCGCATCCAGATCAACATCTCTTTCTGCATTCCAGACTTCTCCATCAAATGCCAGTCTAACTCTCTTTGACCGTTCTGGTAATCCTCGGGCTTTGTTGAACTCGTCAGAGATGACAGCTTTCCGCACCGCCCTCGCAAGCACAATGCTCTTTAAGAAGCGAGCAAACGTGCATGATGTGGTAGTGTTTGGAGCAGGAAAGCAAGCCTACTGGCACATACGGCTCACGCTTCTTCTCCGAGGCGACGACATCCACCACCTCAATATCATAAACCGAGACTTCGAGCGCGTGCACCAGCTACTGGAGAGACTATATAACCCACATGAAGCGCCGCCATCAAACTTCAACCCAGATCCATCATATATTCCGACATATCGGAAAGCAGCAGGAGAAGGGGCAAAGGATGGGCAACAAGACCCACATCATTATCTTCCTCGCCCCAAGATACAAATACTCACCCCAGGACACGGCGAGTATCCGCGTCTCCTCCATGCCACTCTACGGTCCTCAAGCTGCATTTTCCTATGCACGCAATCTCCAACACCTTTGTTCCCCGCAGCCATTCTCACAAATCCCGAAGGCAGAAAGAAAGGTCGCTACATAGCAGCCATTGGCTCCCTTTCCCCTCACAGCACAGAACTCCACTCAGATATAATCAAACAAAACGTAGCACCTGAGCACGGCCACCGACATTTCCACAAACATGCGCAACAAGGAGGCGCGATAGTGGTGGACAGCGTGGACAGATGCCTAAAGGAAGCTGGAGAGATTGTGCAAGCAGGTTTGGGTCCGGAACAAGTCGTCGAGATAGGCGAGCTAGTCATGTTGAAGCGGGATGCGGAGAGGAGAAGGAGAGAATGTATGGCTGGCAAGGGTATAGAGGCCGAGGGGCTGGATGTGGGTGGCGTGGAATTGGGTGAATGCGAGATGAACAAAAACGAAAAGAAGAAGGCGGGCAAAGGCGGTAGTAAAGAGAAGGAGAAGCATCGTGAGAGCGAGGACAAGGCGCATAAGAGTCTGATTGAGTGGTTGGTCAAGGGTAATGTGATATACAAGAGCGTTGGACTGGGCCTCACGGATGTTGTAGTGGGTGGAGATCTTGTCCGAATAGCGGATGAGCGCAGTATCGGCACGAGGATCGAGAACTTTTAGAAAGGGTCGTCGCATCCATCATTGAAGTTGGAACCAGGCCTCGAATACCTGGACTCGTGCGAATGCATCTAGAGGCAGTGCCAAGAGAATCGACCATATTCTACAAAAACGAAAGATAATTTATAAGAACTCGAGCATCACAAGCAAACAAAATATGCGAATGGCGTGCGTTATCGTGATTGATTCCAGTCAATGCAGTCGTTTGCCGACCGCTTTTAACCCTCCTAAACTCCGTTGGTATTGTGAACCGACTATATGCAGAGGTAAGAGACACGCCGTAAAGTCATCATGAAATATTCAAAGCACCTCAGGACCTGCTTAGATCTTGATAGCGCTCTCAACAGCCTTCCTGCGCTTCTCCATGCGGGCGTTGGCCTTGGCACCCATGATACCACCTCCCCAGTGACGGGCAGCATCCTTGTGGTGTGACTCGAGGTAGCCGTCGTTGACAGCGGTGACAAGCTTCTGGAGCTCGTTCTTGTCCTCGGAGCGGACCTCGGTGAGGGCGAGAACAGCGGCGGTCTTCTGGTGGACGACCGTACCGAGACGGGCCTTACCCTTGACAATGACGTAAGGGACACCTAATGAATGTCAGTTGATGTGCCATATGCAGTTTGCGTATTCCTAGCACTCACCCATCTTCCTGCAGAGAGCAGGGAGGTAGACAACGAGCTCGATGGGGTCGACGTCGTTGGCGATCAGGACGAGGGAAGCCTTCTTGTTCTCGATGAGGCCAACAACGTGGTTGAGACCGTACTTGGCAACGTAGGGCTTCTTGCTGACATCCTCCTTCTTCTTGCCCTCAGAGACGGCGGTAGCCTCCTTGGTGAGACGCTCCTTCTTCTCGGCCTTGGTCTCGGGACGGTACTTGTTGAGGATCTTGAAGGCCTGGGTGGCGAGGTTACGGTCAGCAACGTGCTGGAACTGGGCAATCGCCGGTGGGACCTTCAAGCGCATGTTGAGGATCTTCTTCTGGCGCTGAAGGCGGACGTAAGCGCTACGCGTTGTCAGTATCTGCAGAGCACGGTTGGGTTGGGGGTTGCTTACGGCCATCGGACCATGCGGCCGACGTTGCGCTGGGGCTGGATGTCCTGACCGATGCCATAGTTGCGAGGACGCTTCTCGATGAGAGGGTTCTGCTGCTTGTTAGCGCTTGCATGCAAAATCTCGTGGAATGGGCAGACCTTTTGCTTCTTGGCGGCAGAGGCCTTAGAGGTGGCCTGGGGGAAAGCCGCAGGCTTCTTTCCGGATCCTTTGGGAGGCATTGTCGAGGCTGTCATAGAGAACAGAAACCATTAGCGAATGTTCATTCACTATAGGTCTGAATCTCGTAAGAGCGAGAGGGCTTTTCAGCCGCTCTGCACTCTAGCCATCATTTGTATGCAACATGCTCGTAAAGAGACATGCGATTGATATGCTACCGAGCATTCATGGCGAAGATATGCGCTTACCTGGTGTGTTGGCGGCGGTCGACGAAGGGTGAGATTGGCGACGATGGACTTGACGAAACGTTCGAAAGCGGGCGCAAAAGTTGTCGCGACCGAAATCCAGATAGGCGAGTGCGTGCGGGTGTGGAACAAGGTTTCGCCGGCGCTAGTGCTGGCCCAATCGGAGCGTGGCACTTGGCTTTCGACCATCAACCACGACAACCTCAATTCCATGACAATGAACACGTTTGGCCTTAGTGGCAAGGGACGGATCACGCAACTAATCGCCATCTTCTGTCTGTGGAAAGCATTGCTCCTCTTGCTTGCAGCGTTCTGTCCAGGTCCTGGCTATGACACCTCCGCGCTCATATTGTTCGACACGTACTATCGACGGCACCATGAATTCACCCTTTTCGCTCGACATGAGCGTCTCGCTCTCAACCTACTTCGTTGGGATGCACTGTACTTTGTGAAAGCAGCTGAGCGGGGCCTGGTCCACGAGCAAGCGTGGGCCTTCAGCGGGGCGTATTCGTATCTTCTGAGACTAACCGGTCAATGTGAGCAACGGTGGCCCAGTTCTTTGGCTCGGCACTGATATCTCCTAGTCATGGCTGGCAATACACAGGCCTCCCTGCACTACTATGTCCTGGCCGGAATCATCCTTTCTAGCGTCTGCCACCTTCTCTCTGTGCTAGTGCTGTATCGCCTTTTGACCTTGGTCCTGGAACCACAACGGCGACGGATAATCCCATTCATCGCCGCTGTCTTGCATGTTCTGACGCCAGCATCTCTGTTCATGTGTGCACCTTATGCGGAAGCCATGTTTTCGCTGTTGAATTTTGTGGGCATGCTCTTCTACGCTCAATCTCGGGCTTCAGTTGGAACAGGAATGTCTTCAATCCAAGAGGACCTCCAGAAACTTGGCTCTGGCCTTTGTTTTGCTGCAGCAACACTCATGCGGAGTAATGGCCTACTGAGTGGCGTCATTCTCTTATACGATGTTGCAAGGTACATACCTTTCGTTTTATCTGCGCAGTTGACTATGCGTGATTTGCGAAGGATTACCGTCACATGTGTGGCTGGCAGTCTTATAGCGTTGGCATTCCTTGGGCCGCAGGTTCTGGCATATGCGGAATTCTGTGACCGAGAGCACGGCTCTGGAACCAGGCCGTGGTGCGACAAGAGCTTCCCAAGCATTTACTCGTGGGTACAGAGCTACTACTGGTGAGTTATCTCCACACAGTGTGTTCCTAGTCTGACCTCTTCTAGGAACGTAGGACTCTTCCGCTACTGGACACTGTCAAACCTGCCCCTGTTTTTACTAGCGGCCCCTGTTTTATGGCTGCTTCTTACATCGAGTGTTACCATTCTCCGCAGCGGCGTCCAGCATCCGTTACACGGGCGCCCCGTACCCCGGACTAGTGGAACAACCAAACCCAGGGATGGAACCTCCGCGATATGCAAGCTACCGGAATTAGCCTTACCACAGCTAATACTGGCTGTAACGGCCGTTGCCAGTTTCCATGTCCAGATTGTAAACCGAATCGCTTCCGGTTATCCGATGTGGTATCTTGTTGTGGCTACGTGGTTGGCAGACTCACAAAGCACAACTCGTACAGAAAAAGAATCGCAGAAGGCAAGATGGTATATTCAAGGTGGTATCATATACTGCTTGGTTCAGGGGATGCTCTATGCAAACTTCCTCCCGCCAGCCTGAAGCTCAATTTAAGGACTTTCTCTTGAGATAAACCGGCAATGTGTTAGATGGCCGACGTAATCGACCTGTAGTTATTCTCCTGCTATAGTTGACATGTGTGCATCGGGAACCATCCCTCGAGCAAGAAAATTGAATCATGCTAAGGAGAGAAGAGGTCAGGAATATGGAACACCAACGATACGCAATCGGAAAGACGAATACCAACTTCACATTCTTGTTAGTCCTCACATCACCAATGGTCTCATTATGTCTCGGTAAACGGACATGTTCCACAACTGCGTAAGCTTGTCGCACCTACAAGTTGGTGGCGTAAAACCTGCAATTTAGGTGTTGAATGCAGACGCCTAGACAGCTAGTACGACACGATCGATCCTAGTGAAAACGCCCGTCATCAGACATCGACTCTCCACTACGCGAATTTTGCAGATTCTACAATACTTGAGGATATGTGAGGAAGATAACTGGGAATAATTCATGCGGATCAATGCCACATACTGGTGACTACTTACAGGGTCCATTTGGAGGAAATGCACTCCTTCAGACTGAGGCCCGCAGCGTTTACATGAAGCTTCGTATTACGACAAATGACAAAAGTTTAGTTGAGAAGCTACGGTCATGTAAGGTACCCCACAGTCTCACTGCTCGTGTCGCTCCTCAGGAGTTTCGGCCATCACAAGTGTTGAGACATACACTCTAGAACGGACTTTCAGGACGAGGTTTGAGGATCGCTTGGAGTGGCTGAGCTCTCTCTAGCCTTTCATGGAACGGCTCCTTGACAGTATCGTACCTGCGTAAGCTACGTATGCTGATCGTTGAGTAAAGGACCGGATCGCTGTCTAGCCACTGGAAATGCGAATCAATGGCGATCTGCTGTGCCAGCACACTACTTCATTTCCAGCAAGTTTATATACAACCAAGGTCAGGAGGGTCAAGACTTACTGCAACATAGGACATATTGGGCGAGGCAGAACATTGCAGTACCCATCGCTTGTCCCCTCATGACCTACTACTACTGACATGTCGCTGATTTCGCAACATCGACTATGACCTCATGAACACTAAAACGCCCGTTTGCGACACTGACAGTATCCTAGTTTCTAAACCAGGAACCTTCGCTTGAGCATGATGTTCACTGTCATGTTTTACACGGGCGCCACCGATACTACTCACTTTGCCGTAGCGAGGGCAAGAAGCGGCGTGACAATGGATAGCGGAGCCTTGGGCTCAGTATCTCTGTAACTAGTCCCTTCGACGACGAGAGCGACTTATAAAGGCTGCTCTAGCCCCTCGGTTGATAGGTGTGCCCATTGACCCAGAACGACCTACACTTGTTGCAAAGTCAAAATGAAATTCTCTACTTTTGTTACGTTTACCAGCCTTTCTGTAGTCTTAGCAGCAGTTCTCGACACTAGGCAAGTGTGCTTCGAGGATGACTGTTATCGCGCAGTCTGGCGTGACGGCGGATTACCTCGTATGATTCAAGCTGGACAGGACTGCAAAGACTTTCTTACTACAAGCGTCATCTGGAACCCCATGTTTGTAACCCGTAAAAGCTACATGAATTCTCTGACAATTAAGTAAAGCACCACCCTTACGGTCATTACTCGAATAACCTCTACCACAACGACACCGTGCTCTCCGACATTGACATCCACCGCTACGAGTCTCATAGCGCTCCCAACTTCGTCGGAAGAGAACAAAATATGGGTTCGACAAGTTCAGCCCACTGATTGGTCTACAACGACGGTCTTTGGTTCTCAGCCTTCCTACGCCACACAAGACTGTAACTCACAAGCATACTCATCCGCATGTGGGTGTGCGAACATCACTACAGCTATAGTCACCTACCTCGGAACTGTAAGTCGTTTGCTGAATGAGACAGTGTGCAGGCTGATCATGTATCACAGACTGTGACCAATACCGCGACCACAACCATTACCAGCATCTCGACGACTGGCACGTCGTGCCCAGTGTTTACTCCTTCATCTTCAGCCAGCTTTCCGACCTCATCAAGCACACATACATCTTCTTCATTATCTAGCAGTGTCACTAGTAGCGTGATCTCGGGCACATTGTCGTCCACAAGCACAGGTAGTTCTTCTTCAAGCTCGGCTACATCATCGCTTAGCACGGGTAGCTCTTCTTCGAGCCCAGCCACTTCATCATCTAATACGGGAAGCTCTTCATACTCGCTGACTGGATCTAGCAGCTCGTCGAGCACACCAACTACTTTCAGTTCTTTCAGCTCTTCAATCTCTACCTCGACAGCGCCAACTACAGCGTCTTCCAGCTCTGGTAGCTCGTCGACTACTTCAGACGAAACCCCTATCACAAGTAATACGCTGAGCTCTCCCAGTTCTCCATCGAGTACCACACCAACGAGCTCATTGTCCTCCGCTACTTCTTCCGAGAGTCTTTCCAGCAGCTCTTCTTCGACCTCATCCGATACTTCAAGCTCCATGGGCAGCAGTACTTCTTCCGAAAGCTCTAGTAGTAGCGCATCGTCCGCCTCGCTTAGCAGTTCAAGCGTCTCATTCACAAGCACTTCATTGGGCCCATCCAGCAGCATCCCGACAACCTCAACTAGTAGCACTGGATCTGAATCGTCAAGCAGCGTAATTCCGACGTCAAGCGATTCGAGTTCGTCGTTTAGTAGTATCTTGTCGTCCACAGCAAGTAGTACAGACTCCTTGTCATCAATGTCCTCATCTACTAGCATGACATCGACTTCCGGTAGTTCGAGCACGTCGGTTAGCAGCAGTGCTTCATCCTCTATTAGCAGCACAGCGTCATCAACATCCTTACCCTCATCCTCTTCTTCATCCTTTGGCACTACGACGGTCTCTTCATCGTCTGGCACATCATCGACTACGTCCACAACCAGCGCAACACCCAGCCCACCCACCTGCGGAGGTGAGGGCGTTGCACTTTGTGACGGCGGCTGCCACGACCTCAAAACCGATGTTCTTCACTGTGGTCGCTGCAACAATGCCTGCGCTGCGAACAAAGGATGCTTCAACGGAGTCTGCGCGTCCTTCCCTTGTGATTCTACTTGCGCATTCGACCGTCTGTGCGGTTCTGGCAACGGGACCACGATATGTCGCTGTGCAACGACCACGGAAGGCGCTGGTGTCTGCTATAACAAGGACGGAACTGACTGTACGGATCCTGCTATTACCCAATGCAGGCTGTCAAGTGAATGTCCCGTTGGTATGGCTTGCATGCCCAACATCTGTGACTGTGGAGATCAAAGCAAGGGAATCTGTGTGGGCACGGCTGGATGCGGAGACCAGGGAACGAATATCATGGGAGGACTAGTTAGGATTGGGGAGATGGAGAGGCGAAGGAGGACCGTGAGGGGCTTGGCGAACTCTCTTTGAGGGGTGATGCGGCGCGAATAGGCCATGAGAGTGGCCCGGGTGTGTGGTCACATACGCAGGGTGGGTGGCATCGTGTCTTGTTGTTTGAGGAAAGTTTGGCTGCTCGATACGTACTACCTAGGTAGTGAGCGTTGTATAATGGTTTTCACAACACAATATACATCCTTCGCTTCTATACTTCGGCATCGCTTGCCGTGTTGTGAAAAACACTCGACGTCAGTGCGCGATAGGCATCCTCTGCATAACAACACAGATGGCTCTCGCTTTGTTATGTCGCGTTGTTGTGGGCGGTCAATCCTCCCGAGGCCAGATGCTAGCTTCTTCCATCATGTGAGCAACACAGACACCAAAACACAATAAAATGCTGTGCCAGAGACTTGGGCCAGAGGTTTGCGACGGCGAACATGCAGGATGCGGTGTGATTGGGGAGATGAAGTTGGTGTGTGGAGAGAGGTTTTGTCGGCACCCCAGCAGCTGAGCAGCCATGGGCAAACGGTTCCTCCAGGTTTCCATGCCTGACGACGATTATGACGGATGCAAACTATAAACGCATGAATATGGCCGTCGATAGAAGTTAGCGCGTCACGGTGGCATGCATTGGCGTGCACCCCACATGCTAGCACGCGTGGTTGCTGGGACGATCGCCCGCATGTTTATGGGTATCCGCAAACGGACGGTCGACCTGCCTCATCATCGCCTTCCTCTAATATGTCCGCCATCCTTCTGCTATAGACAATTCACGTTTCAAGCCTTCTCTTCCCGGCCCCGGCCTCAGTACACGCTTCCACAATTATCTTTTTTTCTGGAGCAGCATCATGTCGACGCCGGACATGGCCACGCCACCCGCTGCAGGGCACCGACGCAACAAATCCGCTGCAGTGCTCAAGTCTATTATTGTAAACAAAGGCCACAGGCGCTCACCGACCGAAGGCGCTGCGCTGCACACCGCGCAGATATCCAACCCGCCGTACATGCCCGTCTCCAACTTCCAGGCGCCCTTGCTACCGCCAGACCACCCCCATAGCCAATTGCGCGCGGCAAACCAGACAGAGAACGACCCCCTCAACCCGCCGTCGCCTCGCAAGTCGCAGGACGCCAAATCGAGCCCCAAGAAGAGCCTGCACAAAAAGACACTCAGCTCCGTGTCGCTGCGGTCACTGGCGAAGAAGGAGGACAAGCCCGCTCACAAGAAATCGCTCGACGCGCGGCGAGCGCAGGACGAGGTTGAGGCAGGCGAGAAGCCCAAGAAGACGAAGTCGTCGACCAACCTGGCTGCCATGTTCGGCAAGGGCAGGAGAGACAAGTCACCCGTCAAGGAGAGCAGAGACAAGGAAAACACCACACCACCCCGCACCTCGCATGCACAGGCCCCACCGCGCACTCCCATTTGGGCCGAGTTCAGCTCCCAGCAGGAAGTCACCACCACCAGCAAAGTCCCTCTGAACGACCAGCGCCCGAGCGTCGAGGACGAGATCGCCCTCTACACACCGCAAGACTACTCGCCCACCAAACAGCGCAACTTCTTCGAGACCGGCCAGCCCTCGCTCCGACCTGCCCAGAAGGAGCGACCCAAGTCCATGTTTGTTCCCAAGTCGACTTCCACCGCATCGTTACTCGAGACCTTCTCGCGCAAGCGGAGCAACGAGCGTGTTCCTCTGTCCGACACCAAGGGCAACGAGGGACGCACCAGAGAGAGCTCTCCTACCAAGCCGCCGAGACCCATACTCAGTAGAGCGAGTACCGACACCGGCAGCAAGGACTACAGCCTCAAGGATATGGCGCCTCCGCCAAGTCCTACAAAGAAGCAGAACCGAGTCATGGCCGCCGTCGCTGCCTTTAACGGAAAGTCCAAGCAAGCTGAGAGTGCCCCGGCATCTGCCAAACCTGATCCTAAGGTGGTAGACGCCGAGTTCGAGGAGGTTCTGGTAAGTGCTCTCTCGATGTCTAGCTGGTCCCTCTGCTAACAACATCAGGAATCCCGAAATATTCCCGCCCACCAGCGTGCGCAGATGCGGACACTGAAGCTAGAGGTCAAGGCCGACTTTGTTCGAATGCACAAGCTTGACATTCCACAAACCTCCAAGACAAACTCTGCACATTCTTCCATTGGAGAGAACACCAAGCAGATACCACAGAAGTCATCCAAGTCTCGACATGGATCTGCTGTTGAGGATGCAGAGGATGAGGCGCAAGACAAGTCAGCAAACTCAACTAAGCGTGAGCGTCCAAGGAGCCGAACCTTTACCTTTAACAGGAGTGACTCTCCTACAAAGAAGCAGAAGGGGGGCGAGTTGGGCGAACGGAAGACGTCATCAAAGCCAGCTCCTATCCCCAAATCTCCCTCTATGAGATCTCTGAGGTCTAACGCTTCTGACCGATCTGTGTCCAACGGAGCCAAATCTGTCAAGGCCGACGAGTTCATCTCCTACATGAAGAAGACCCCCAAGCCACAGAACGTCGAGGTTGGCAAGCTGCACAAACTCCGCTTGTTGATCCGTAACGAAACCGTCGACTGGGTTGACAACTTCATCCAGGACGGTGGTATGACTGAGCTGGTTGCACTCCTCCACCGGATCATGGAGGTTGAATGGCGCGAAGACCACGAAGACACTCTTCTCCACGAACTCCTCCGCTGTCTCAAGGGACTCTGCACGACTGCTACCGCTCTCAAGCAGCTTAACGAGATCTCATCGACACTGTACCCAGCCTTGCTGGCTATGCTTTTCGACGAAGAGCACAAAGGTCCGAGCGAGTTCACTACGCGTGAACTCATTATCGAGATCATCTTCGCTCACATCTCCATGGCACCAGAGGCTGAACTGGAGACTCGCGCTACCGAGTTGATGAAGTATCTCAAGGATCCAGTCAAGGAGAAGCAGGCATCCACTGTTCCGTTCATTCTACAGATGCACCAACCACGACCCTACCAAGTATGGTGCAAAGAGATGTCCAACGTCACCAAGGAGGTTTTCTGGATCTTCATCCATCACCTCAACGTCATCCCTGTTCCACCCAAGCCGACGGGAGACAGGTCTTACGCTAAGACTCACTTCCCCGGTCAACGCGCCATTGTACCCGCAGCCCCCTACGTTGGTGGTGTAGAATGGGATGCGACCAACTACCTCGCCACACACATTGATCTCCTCAACGGCATCATAGCTTCACTCCCCACCCGCTCAGCACGTAACGAATTCCGTCAAGAACTCAAAGTCTCCGGCTTCGAGAAGCTGATGGGTCACCTCCGCGCCTGCAACCCCAAGTACTATGGCGCTGTTCACGACAGCGTTAAGGTCTGGATCGGCGCTGCACTTGAAGACGATTGGGACGTCAAGACTGTGCGTATGGGCTCTGACGGCAACGTGAGCCCAGCCAAGCAAAGCCCCAAGAAGAAGACCGAGCCTCCGCCACAACTCCAGGCACCACCTAAGATGGATGTCGGCCTTGGTCTCGGATTGGGCTTTGAGAGAGAGATTGCGATCGGCAGCAAGAGTATCGTGGATGACGATTGGATCTAAACTGTCGGATCACTATTCGACATGGCTACCCATCATCTGTTACCGCTTTGAATGCTCTCGGCTATCTACCCACTTGGATACCACCTCACCCACTACGCATCTACAAACAACCACTGCATTGATTTTTCCAACGGCGCAAAACGGATACATATCGGCGTTCATCACCTCTCCATCTCACGTCCATGCATTCACACCGGTCAATCCTTCGTTTTCCACCACGCTCTCTTTGGATCTACCTATGGTCGAGTCCAAACTCCCTACCTTATTCACGACTTTAGCATGACATGACTTGACGACCGACACGGCTGGTTCCCTGGGACGACGTTGTGTTTTTACTCTCTCCCTTTCGGACACAGATACATGAAACTTGTGTATATACTAGTTTTGGAGCCCTATTTTGTTTTTGTTTTGTTTTCCCGGATGCATCTTTAAGGGGCGTATAATTTGGACTGTGGTGTTTGGGTAGTCCTTGCGCATTGCGAATCTAGTGGTCTATCTTCACTATTATTTTCCCGTGATGACGTGTGGTGATGATTGTTTATCGTATAATGGTAAATGTGATACAAAAGCCCTACCCAGGACTATAAATATTCTATGTGGGGTATCTGACAAGTTTTACAACCAACTCCGTCCATCCAATGCATGCCGCTAAATCATAACTCCATCTACATCGCGTGCTTGACAAACTTCAAGCCTTCTTTTTGCCTTTCCTTCGGCCCTTCTTCTCGGCGACTTCCAACGTCCCGCCCTCGACTTCACCCTCTTGCAGCCCCATGACTTCATTCGCCTGCATCTCCTTCAACTTCTCCTGGCCTGAGATGAAGAAGCTCAAATCGCGGTTCTGCTCCTCAAGGTCCGCTTTCTGCGCATCAAGCTCCTTGACTCTGCTCTCCGCTTCTTCGGCTTTCTTTTCCAAGTGTTTGATGCGCTCCATGAGAGACTCATTCACAATCTGCTCTTCCTTGTACTGCTTGGTAAGTTTGCGGGCGAGGTCGGATGCTGACGCTGCTTTCTGAGCGTTGCGAGCGGATTCCTTTGTGAGGGAGGCGATGGTGGCTGTTGCTTCTTCGTGCTCAGTGGATAGCTTGTCGAGTTTCTGAGATAACAAGGCAACAGAACGGCTTGCTTCGTCAGCGGTAGAAGCAGCTTTTGCCGCTTTGTCGACTGCACGCTCGAGCTGCTCTTCAAAATATGCGCGTTGAGATTCGAGTTGCGAGGTAAGTAGATACGCGTACTCCATACCCATGTTATCCAGCTTCTCGCGTGGTACGGTGTCGTTGGAGTAGCCTGTCATGCCGGGTGCACTGAAGGACTGGTTGGAGGCTGGCATGTCGACGAGCTTGCCGTCTGCTTTGTTCTGTATGAGTCGATGGACGTAGCCATCACCTGCATAATCCCAGACGTGTTGCGTTACCACATCCATGGCATAGGTATGACTCGTTGCCTCATAGTGTGCGAATGCGTGCGCCGAGTCGTAGCGACCACACCCTATGTTGCCGCAGATCAGACAGATCCAGAGATTTTGTGTGGATCCGCAGACGCTACACTCATTATCC